ATTAAATCACCAATGATCTTTCCAAAACGTCTCCTTTAACCCTATAATCGTTTAGAATGTTTTGGAAAATGCGCAAACACGAACGCCGAAGTGAACTTTCCGCCATATTGGATAGTGTTTACAAAATCACGTTTCATGTACGCCGGTTATGCGACGCCTGTGACATCACGTATTTTTCAAACTTAGCAATACACACATCCTTGAATTCCTCATACATTTTAGAATCAAATGACCAATGGTCTTTGTCACCAATAGAAAGTGGCTGGATGATATCAAGCAAAATAAGTTAGGTGTGAAAACGAACGCTGTGCTCGACAAACTGCACTTGTTTGAAATGTAAACAAAGTAAAATACAGATTTTACACAGTGTAGCATTTTCTCTTATTTATTCGTCTATTCGTTCAAGATATTGGCTCAACATTTTCAGAATATGCATAGGAAGAGAATTGTAAGAAGAATTAGGGAATTTAAAATAGATATATTGCAATGATTTGATATTTTCAACAGACAAAGTTACCGCCCTGAGTGACGCCATGACTGACGCAAAATCACGCATAACGACAACGGTATGTATCGGAATTTCTGACTGTTTCCGTTGGATTCAATAAAAATTATTACAACAAATAACAGTACATAGATTATCAGAATGTTTCTGATTACTTACATGTCACATTTATGTTTATACGATCCCTGAATCAACGGACAGTGAACACGCCATTTTGTAAAAGGCGGACACAGGTAGTGATTTCATACGTCAACATTGTTGTACATATTTGGTAATTTCTTTGCGGTGATGGTCCTTGAATGAGAGTGCACGCGACCAATGTATCATGCTGTTTACAGTTTCAGTTATGATGTAGATTTTGCATATCTTTTATACATTTTTTCACACAATTAATTTCACTTTGGATATTTGTCAATGTTCAAAATGATATCATACGTAAGTAAAGGCCACAGCATGTATGAACGAACCTTTGATAATCTCTTGTTTGTTTGAACATTGTTTACATAACAATTGATAGGTTTTTAGTGTCGAATACGATATTTCTTTCCTTTGAACAAGTGTTACAAGATGAAGTGTAAATGTAACTGCAGCATGTGCGTATTTCTTGGGATGTGCAATAGTCAATATCATAAGTTCATATAACCAATGTCTATGAATAGCCGTTTCCCTTTATTTTATAACTAAAACTGAATGTATTACTTGAACAAAATGGACTGCGGGGGACGTTGCTCACGATATGCACCACCGGTTTTTCTGGCTCAGATTCCATTATTTACAGGATGTTTTGATGCTGAACTATTGTTAATTGCTTTGTAGATAAAACACAACAAACAGGGATTACGACCACAATGCAGAAAATAATTATTGCAAGCTCTCACTGCCACTGTTCGTCTGTTTGAAACAAATTACTCAAGGATGTATTTGTGTTCTGTGTACATTTCCCTAACCCAATAATATGAAAGGATAAACAACATATATATGTCTGTGTGATTTGATACATATACCTATCTTTTAGGTATGCTAAAATCGTCAGTCAACAAGGACAAGTATGCACGAATGAAGCTCACGATCCATGCCTAATTGTACTCATCTTTATTCAATCCCAAACAAATCCCAAACAAATATCTGCTTGAATGCAACACAATTTATCACTGTATGAACATTTCCATGCGTGCACTCATGTCTCGGTTAAGGTTCGGAGTTGTTGGATTCTATGCCCATTGGCGACATCACCTATGGGAAATGATATTAGCGTGTGCCAAAAAATGAATTATTTCCATGTATTCCTGATGGTGCTTAAACATATCGAAATGAATTAATTTTATGTGATCCGTTTTATACAGGTTTGAAATTAATATAATAAAAAGACCATGCCTCAACTGGTTCCATAGTGATGCAAATGTCAGGGTAACCTGCATATACTCCAATATGATGATATGGTTTTGGGGATGTTTGTCAAATATATTGGACATGCGTTAGTATTATCGATAGTGCTTATGTACATATATTGTAACCTGATATCAAACCACAATGCGCAGTTTATTACTCATTACGTAATAGAGAGCGTAATAGTGGAGAACTTGATGGGGTATTGAGGCTTATAATGAACAGCCTCAATTCCCTTGTTCAGAATCTCATTCATGTGCCGATTAGCGACACAGATAGAAACAGTCCAAACCAAGCAGATGAATGTGTATTTGGATCAATGCTAACAAACAGAACTCAGTTTTTCATGTCTTAGCGAATGCATTGCGGGGATTGTGACCTCGAAATGTGTGTTTTATATTACGTTAGTAATCCACGGACAGTCATTGTACAACTTATAATTGCCATAACCCTCTGGATGCCGATTCCACCCCACACCATGATGCTCGTACCACCCCACGAGTCTCTCTTAACAGCACAAGCATCCGAATAACGTTCCCCACGGCGTCGCCAGGCTCTCTCTATACCGCCTGCTGTTGAGATACAGTAACGGATCTCGTCTGAGAAGAGTACTCTTCTCCACTGCTGGTGGCGCCAATGCTGGTGCTATGTTGCCCACTGGAGACGGTCCTGGCGATGACGTGGTGTCAGAATGGGTCCTCGGTGTGGCCTGTACTTGGTGACAGTGGATGTGTCTGCTCGTCAATCGTCGACGCACGATGTCCGCACAAATGTGTCGCTGGTGTGTCCCCATGATCTGTCGAGCAGTTACCGCAGCAATAACAAAGCGATCTTGAAGATGCTGTCGCACAATCTGACGATCCTGACGTCGGGTGGTGACCCTTGGTCTTCCACTACGTGGTCGGTCATCTGTAATGTTGGTGGTGAGGTACCGTTGCTGGAGCCTGTACATGGTCCTTACGTGGACTTGAAATGCATTGGCTACATGCCGGGCGGTTTGTCCAGCTTGCAATCGTCCAAGGGCTTGGTGTCGCTGATTTCTTGTCAATCTTGGCATGTGGTAGCAATTCAATAACGAATGATTGTTATCCGATCTGGGTGGATTTATATAGGGCAAGAAATAGGGAGCGCATGTTCATTTCAATTTGCATGGAACTCACCTGCATGCATGGAGTTGCCGTGATGCGTTTGGGCGATCGGTTTTAATGTCATCTAATTTGTTTTTTTATCATCAAATTTCTTTTTTCCGGACAAGGTAATGTTAAATTTTAGATTATCCAAATATTTGAATGACAACTTTTCATGCAATGTTACTTGGGGTGACGTTTCTTTTGCGGTTCAGTATACATTGACATTTCACTGCCATTATGTTGATAATTCATGACATAGTGTTGATATCTTCCAGACAAATATTGTTGGGCACATTGCACAGCTGATTGTCATCATGGCACTGGTGGTGCTGGACCCCATCAACATCCACGTCAGTTGGGCATAGATAATGCTGGCTATCGAGTTTGCTGTTGTCCACATCTACTGGGTCAGCTATACATGTATGTACAAACCAAAGAAGTAAAAACAGCTGATCAGTAAGTGAACATGGATCGGCAAGATTTGCAGACTCTGAACACATATTATGTGTAGTTGGGTCCTTTAGTGGTTGTGATTGGCAGGTCCTTCAGAAATTGTACACATGCCCTTGGGTTTGGCCAAAGTGAAACGTCTTCAGTCCGGGTTTAGAGTCGACGTGAAATAAACTGATCAAAGAGCCTGGTGTACATGTCCATGAAATAAACACTTCCAAAACTGACATTGAAAGCACTTTACTTACATGTAATTCTAAGTTTAACCATGAATATATGTCACCGTGTGGTTATCGGTACATGAACCCTGGAGACTTACGCCAGCCATATAATGGGTGAGTGAGTGAGTGAGTGAGTGAGTGAGTGAGTATGGATTTACGCCGCTTTTAGCAATATTCCAGCAATATCACGGCGGGGGTCACAAGGAATGGGCTTCACACATTGTACCCATGTCGGTAATCGAATCCGGGCCTTCGGCGTGACGAACGAACGCTTTAACCACTAGGCTACCCGCCCGCCCCGCCATATAATGGAAATCAGTCGAATGTCACGTAAGGAAGGAATATTTGGCAGGAATACATAATCAAATTTGCCCTTACGTAAACAACGGATTTTGTAGCTTAAACTGTGAAACGGTTCTGGGATTGACGTACAGATTGACCAGAAATGAAAGTTCACTTCCCAAAGTAGCAATACAGCTAGCTCGAATTCGGATGCTAATTTCATTGTTTGACAATGCATATTTCCAATTTGAGGTTAACAAGAGCAGTCGATATATGTAAATACACGTTGTTCATATATACATCCGTACATGCAAACGCACAAATACCGTGGTACATAAGGGTACATAATTAAACAAGCGCACGTTCCAAATCGTGTTGCACTGAAGCGTTTTTTTCTCTTGCTGTTTAATCATAAATATGGCAATTTGGTTTCACAGAAGCTGAAATAAGTTGGAAGCTCACTTCGACTGAATTGTCCACGAATGTCAATCGAGCTCTTAACACGGGGAGCTAGATCAAGGACTTAATGTTGAACAGTGATGTTGTTTCTAAATATTACATATTGTTACTGCCTTTAAACTGTCAAGTTCCTGTTCGATCCCAGTGATGAAGCATTTATGCAGTTCTTAGACCTTCAGGCCTGTACACCAGGATGGGCGTGAGGCGGTCCGTATTCTGCCAGGCGGTCAGCTGTGAGTAATCATAACAATTGCTGCCTGGCGATAACAGTTTCAAATGACAGCTTGACTTTTTCTTGATTAGAATCATTCCTATAAATACATTACAGAACAAATAGTATGTGAGTATGTCTGCATATTTACATGTCACATGGACCAATAGCAATGTACAGTCCGTGTTGCATATTGTTCATTGGTAGAGCTATCATCACGGATCGCCGCTTCCCATATAGATATTGAATTTGGGATTAAGACACACTTAATGTCCCCCAGAAGAACGAGTACAGTCGAATCAGTTTCTATGTTTACTCTTGCAAGCATCATTTCTTTATTACTTTATATTTTCTAAATGGCACTGTTTAAACGGAAATCTGCAAGTGCTGACTTCAATTCATCAGTGAAGAATGAACAGCCAGCCGTTTTTACAATTCATGCTCACAGTAACCTAGCATATGAGCCAGACGTGATTGAAACGTCTTCAGGTGCTAATGGAACAGCCCACTCTGATATTACAAGCCCGCCACTGTCAAATCGTAAACCCTCTGAACCGCCCACTCCTCCACCAACACTGAAGAAGTCCATCAACTTGTTCCACTGTACAGCCATCTTGGTTGCGGTCACTGGCAACTCATCCATCTTTATTTCTCCTGGCGCCATCATAGGCTCCGCTGGATCCATTGGAGCCGCCCTCGTCGTTTGGCTTGTTGGAGGACTCATCAATATGGGTTTGGCGCTGTGTTATACCGAACTGGCGACCATGTTTCCGTGTGCTGGTGGACAGTATGCTTACGTCTTGAATGTACTTGGTCCTCTGCCAGGCTTCCCAATGCTTTATGGATATGTTATCTTTATAGTAGGGCCAAGCTGGGCCTTTCTAGCCTACACATCTGCCTTGTATATTATGAAACCTGTTTTTCCTGACTGTGCGACAGAGAATGTTGAGCTGGGTATAAAGTTACTGGCTGGCTGGATCCTTGGTGAGTAATTATTATGGCTTGACATTTTCTTTCTTGTTTTTCGAATCCAGAAGGGATATCAACATCATCCTGCCTTGAAAAGAATGAGTAAATACCAAATAGTTTGTCTTTATTTGTTGTTTAACGGTGCACTCAGAATCTTTCCAGCTATATGACAGCGGCCTATTAATGATCGCGTTTGGACCAGACAATCCAATGATTAATATTACGAGCAACGATCCACATCGTCGGCATAGGATGCCATTCTAGCAACAAAGTCACCGAACCTGACCAACCATCCATTCGGCGCTATATTAACCCGGAATAACTAATCATATAACAAGTGATTTCATTATCTGGGCCCTGTTGTTTGTTTTGTATACTAGTATTTAATACGTGTGGATAAAGGAGTTTTGACGAGCACGAATATTGTTAGCAATACTTCTTGTGGCAATATGATTACACGAAAAGCCGTACCAACTCTCCAAGGCGTTCCTTTACTGATTACTATGTTCTGCATCCCTTTTTCAGTAACAGTGGTTGTCTTAAACTGCACGTTCATGAGGTTTGTCACGAAGGTTCAGACATTTCTGTCAATGACAAAGGTGCTTGCTCTTCTTATCATCATCATTTAGTTTGACGAATCGTGTATAATGCAGCGATAGACGTAAGTAATCGGGTCAGAGCTAGACAAACCAATGGTTCAAAGCAACGTAACTTTGTGTCCGGTAACCGAATTTGACCACCGGATCCTTCCTGTCGCCTGGTAAGTCAAGCCATAAAGTTTTACAACTTATACTTTTCCATTCCAAAAGATAACATCAAGGAGAAAAAGTAAGTTTCCTACGTGGTAGTTGTTATGCCCGTTGCTGTTTGGTTTGATTGCTTGAATGGAACAACTGTTGAAATAATTAAATGACGTCACGTCACGTTTATGATTTATTTGCCTTGTTCCATTACATGCTCGATAAACATGGTGTCTCTTTATTAGCTGCTGCTTAACTGACGGTTGATGTTGGAACTAATTAACTCTATGTAGGCTTGAGGGCTACGTCAATTTAAAAGCCTTGCTGGCACGTCCACTTCAACCTTAATCACTGTTGTTCTCCTGGAACACAGAAAACTGGATGAATGTTATAATGAAAGGTCATCCACCTGCTGTGTGAGGAGGTCTGTCTGATGTTGAGAGGATCGTATGATCGCAAATTAAACGTCTTGAACATCTTTATCGTTACAATAGATTATATAAAAATGTGCTTAAAAGAAAATGTTGATCATTATGTACTACACCAAGTGTTAGTGTGATGTTCTTTAGAGTTTGGCGTTCGATTCAATTCTAATGCTACACAACCTTACAAGATTCAAATTCAAATTAAGCATTTATATAGCGCTACTTATCCAGATATACTGCCGCTCAGTCGTATGCTCTTTTGAAGAGGATGGTCTTGAGTTTTGATCTAAAAGTGTTGACATCTTCAGATCCCCTGACATCAATGGGCAGTGCATTCCATAGAGTTGCACCTGCTTTTCGAAAGGTTCTGTCGCCATATGTTGTTCTGCTGGTTGGTGGAACAGCAAGCTGTTGTTGGTTTGCAGATCTCAGTGTTCGTCCAGGTTGGTAAAGGGCAGTGAGTTCCTGGAGGTATACTGGGGATAACCCATGGATCGATTTGTAGACAAACATGATCAACTTGAACACGTTCCTTACAGGTAGCCAGTGCAGCTCTTTCAGGACGGGTGTAATGTGTTCACGCATTGCTTACCGTGTGATGAGCCTGGCAGCAGTATTTTGCACACGATGTAGCCTATCCAGATGATGTTGCTGGATACCATACAGAAGACTATTACAATGGTCAAGTCTTGATGTTACAAATGCATGGACTAGGCACTTGACTGGTGCTTTGTCTACATATCTTGCTATCTTTCTGCTGTTCCTGATGTGAAAGTAAGCTGTCTTGCACATACTGCTTATATGGTTATCCAGACTGAGTGTTGAGTCAATGATCACGCCTAGATTTCGGGCACAAGAGTTTTGCTCAACCGTACAGTCCCCAGTTTTCAAACCAGGAACTCGTACTTTGGACTGCATCTATTTAGAGCTGATAATCAAGAGCTCAGTTTTGTCATCATTAAGTTTGAGAAAGTTGCTTCTCATCCAGCATCTGATGTCATCTATGCAGCTTGAGATTGCTTTAAAGGCAATGCTGACTGATGATGTTGTCAACGGTCGGAATCCCAGATACAATTGTGTATCATCAGCAGACAGCTGGAAGCTTAGATTATGAGATCTTGCTATATCTCCTACTGGTAGGGTGTAGATGGTGAAAAGTATTGGGCCAAGGACAGGGCCTTGAGGCACTCCAAACTTTAGTTCATACTTCTTTGATCTTACTCCATTAATGATGACTGATTGATAGTGTCCTGAGAGATATGAAGCAATCCAAGATAAGGCATCTCCAGTAATGCCAACTCGTGATTCGAGTGTTGTCAGTAGAATAGAATGATCTATGGTGTCGAAAGCCGCCGATAGGTCCAAGAGCACAAGTACTGAAGCTCCCTGAGAATCGGCAGCATGAAGTAGGTCATTCTGCACATGTAACAAGGCTGTTTCCGTGCTGTGACCAGTCTTGTGGGCTGACTGCATAATTTCACCTAGGTTATTTGCATGCATATGATCACCTACCGCATGTTCGATCACCTTTGAAATAAACTGCAAGATATCAATTTAAGCATTTTTTTTTCAAATGATGCTAAAACAGTTTTCCATAACTGATATATGCCGTTGTACCGTTAGACCTTTTAAAACGCCCATTTAAGAGGGCCAGAAAGGCAACGCAGAGACGAAGGACAGATGACGAACGGGTGGACAGACGACGGACAGATGACGAACGGTTGGACAGACGACGGACAGATGACGAACGGTTGGACAGACGACGGACAGATGACGACGGACAGATGACGCACGGGTGGACAGACAACGGACAAATCGCCATAACCTCAGCTTAATTTGAACTTCTGGTGCGCTAAACCTTCCTTGACAGGATGGAACACATTCTAACTTTTGCTGTAATCAATCTACAGTCCGCTTTCTTGGTCTGATATCTCAACTAAACCCGACAACCCTGCTGCTTCTAAAGATCATACCTGTTATCAAAGGTGTGTCTACTTCTTACTTCTTCTTAATATGTATATATATCGTCGCCTAACTTTGTCATGACCTTGGATCTTGAATACTTATTCTATTGTTGACCCTCAGGTAAAACAGACAACTTTGAGAACCTATTTGCGGACACATCGAAGGAACCGGGAGAGCTTGCTATATCCGTCTTCTACACATCGTTTGCATATGGAGGCTGGTGAGCCTCCTACTCATAATAACATACCAAATGAAACCGGAAAATAACCATATACGGTATGGTTTAGGTTTCCTTATGAACTTTTAAATGACAGAATATAATTTTCCCCTAAATATATTCCACACACTGTCTTTTATTAACGGTTCTGGTCTTTCCAGGCAGACAATAATGACACTGGCAGAAGAGGTGAAGGATCCTGGAAGGTGAGTTGGATCATGAAGACCATGACTGTTCGTGTCTGGTTCTAAATGGATTCTCGAGTCGTTATAATGAATTTTGCCCTGGATCACGTTTCCTACGCTACAATTTACGTCAAAAACATTAGTTTGTTCTGTAAAATTCCAGCTGTATGACGGTCGCCTGTAGATAATCAAGCCTTGAAGTAGGCAAGTGGTTGACATTAACGATAAGCATAGGTTTCCGGTGGCAAATTCTGACCCGGAATCTCCACGGGGGACTTTATTTGTGAAGTTTGATGATTTCCATGTTCCTGGCTTGTAGAGGGGTAGTACATGTATCAGTTTCTTTGAAATTATTTCTATAAAGATGAACTAATGGCTACACTCACCACACACATCGATCTTAAAGGTTTAACCTTAAGTTTGCCGTTAGAGACGACTAAATGGAGGGTCATGTGAGGTGGTCAGTTGCGTGGATCAATGCTCATCGTGTCAATCAGTGGATTGTCTGGTGGATACTTGATTATTAAAAACATACATCATATAGCTTGAATATTGGTGGGTGAGTTGGTTAGGTCGCTGACTTTGTGTCCTGGCGATTAGGTGCCTTACTCGGAGAAGGGTTGGTTTGAATCCCGGACGTGTTCTGTAAAATGTTATATCATGTTGCACACTTAGAGTGAGTGAGTTGCGTTGAACGCCGCTTGGGAACAGTATTTTACTGTGGGTCAGCTTGGTGTGGAAGGAAAGCCTCTTTGGGGTGCCGAAAGTAATGCAGATGTTAGACGTTTACCTCTGTGGCGAAATAATACCACGTTGTACCTGTGAATGTTTCTAGTGACCTATCACTTTCTGTATCCTCGTATCTTCTCTGTCTGCTGAAGGGATCTCCCTATTTCAGTGTACATGGGCTTCATCATCATCATCTTGAAGTACATCCTTGCAAACGCTGCCTACTTCACCCTCATCAACCCCGCGGAGATGTTGCAGTCGAACGCAGTGGCGTCGGTGAGCAGTTTGAGGCAAATTGTTCTCATGGGCGATGTTTTATACCTATGGTGTTGGGATATATCTGGCATACATTTTAGAAGAACAAGTAATTGTACTGTCCAATAACAGAGTACAAAGGAATTCAAACAAAATGAAAGTTGAATTGTTTCTGTGAGTGAGTTGAGTTTTCCGCCGCATTGTACAATATTTATATCACGGCATGTCAGTTTAAGTATGGGAGTAAAGCTCAAAGTGGCAACTTTTGTTGCAACGAGCCGTCATTGTGCTGACAAACCAAGGTACATGATCATAGAACATTCGAACCCGCGATCAGTGAATCCTATCTTCGCAGTGCAACAACTCGAGCAGTTACTGCTGAACAACTGCTGGAGCAGTTACATAGAAACATGATATTCTGGGTTTATGCGACCATTGAGCGTCCTGGCCAGTTTTTGATCGCTCGAAAGTGGCTCAAAGGTCGCAGCCTTGTGTAATGGGGGCTTCAGCAGTAACTGCTCGAGTTGTTCAGCGTCTGCAACCACAGTGAAACACTGCAGGTACAAACCCTCTTTTTGTAGACAGACTGTGGAGGCATTACAGGTAGCTCAAAGGAGGCAGAAAAGAGGCAGAAGCATTGCCATGGTGTCTCAAGGGTTGATATAAAAAACATAAAATATATGACACGGGTTTCCAAGAAAAATATATTAAGGTTTGAATAAATCCGCTAACTCAAGCCTTGTTTATGATGAACCTGCATACACCCTAGCTATACTTATAAATATGTAGATAAGGTAGGTTACAGTACTGAAAACATAAAGAATAACGAAATATATAACAAAATGGAAAGACATTAGATTGATGGCCACAAGCTTGTGGTTCCCGCGAAATTCACAGACTGAAAATGCATGTATACAAGCCACATTTAAACGATTACAATATCAATGTCGAAAGTACAGATTCTTACTTCCTACAGTTTAGTAGTTATATTGCCTAGAAAATTTAATCAATATCTATGGGTACGCTAAATCCTTGGTATTGCTATCAATTCGTCAAAGTCACATCGTGAGATATTTTTGTGAAGGTGGTACGATTTAGAGCATGTACTTGATACACCAGTTTCATGGAAATACACATTTGCTTTCAACTAAGATTCTAAATAAATAGTTCAACATCAAAGTTCTGATGAAGTGATTAAAGAATTTTATGACTAACATTCTTATAACTTAATAAATATGACATGTCGCTTGTCAACATGATGAGCGATGCTATCACATTCTATGAACTTACTTAAAGTTTTCACACTTCCTCACCACTAACCTACGTATTTTAATGAAACAGTGTGTGGCGGGTGATACGGGTAGAGGTGGACATGCGTACAACAGCCCCGAATACTTGTTTTCAGTGATAACATTTTAATCACTATTTCGCGTTTGACGTCCTATGGAATTTGATCGACATATATTCGAGACTAATTAATCTCTGGCATTGACCTGTTGAGTTAAAATGTCAATATTTGTAACTATGATTTCATAAGGGCCTAAAACCATTAAAATTACTTCCAATTGTAAAGAATGTATATTGTTTTTACCTGTCATAAGATGTTACTTCTATTGTCATTGTTCACAGGGTGTTATTTGCTGGAGCAAGAGTCGGTCATGTGCCCCAGATCTTCGGCATGATTCACCCAAAGTATCTTACCCCATGGCCTGCCAATTTTGTGCTGGTAAATACTCGTTGGATCATTTGAGTACCAATTTCATCACTCATCACGATAACTTGTGTTTCTTTGTCGTCAACTACTTTGTTTCAGAAAGTTACATATGTTTACTGGTATTATTCCTTCTCCATGATTAACAGCTTGCCTGGGGGCTGACCATGTTGTTCACGGGAGGTTTGACGACCATGATGATGTACATCGGCTTCTTTGCCACCATCGCAGGTATCGCCGTCGTGGTGTCGTTGCTGTACCTACGAGTCAAGAGACCAGGCGTTAACAGACCGTATAAGGTAAATGTCAGTTGTTGCACAGGTACTCATATATACTGATGAAGTACACTGGTTGGCAATGTTCAGCCTGGGCAGCTTCGAACCTAAGAGATCTGTGTCATTTAAGAGAGCACATTTACACACTTATTCAACTTATATAGAACATACTATTGTCACATTTCATAGTTCATATTGTCAGTGTTCCCAGCACACAATATTGGCTCAAAGTAATCATTATGTACAGAGCATGTGTCGTTTTCAAAGCCTAAATGTTCAATACCGTATGCGTATTGATTCGTAATGCAAAAGGCATATTACTTCCTAAATGACATTGACAGACACATCAGAGCACACGAGAATACTCACAACCTCCCAGGAGGATATGCGACGATGAGATCGCAAACTTACCAGTGGTACAACCTGCACGTTTTATTCCCAATCCACAAATTGTTCTTTTTATTCCTATATATGTAGTATCTGTGGCCCGAATAAAAAAAAATTCATTTATGAGATTAACTGCTGGTGTTTTTTGTCATTGGCGACTATTTACAGACAGCTTGTTAGTGGTCAACTACAGCCAGTGTCGATGTACAGTCACAGTTTTTCAGCACTATTTCTGCCTGTACTGTTACCCCGTCCATTGTTAACTGATACACACACGCTTGTCATAAGGCCTCCGATGATCATGGTTAAATTGATAGCTGTCTACTGCTTCCTAACATCTTCCCAGCCGTCCCCATTACGTTTCCCCCATTACGGACGATGCCGTCAGTAGTGCCAACTGACCACAAAGGTACGCATACGTGTACAAGGCAAAGTGTATATGCGACTGTAAATAGAGATATCATAGCTCTATGCTACAGATCAATAGTCATGGATCCTAGGAGGATTTGATGTACCAAGGGGACATAGACTTTGCAATGTATTTTTATAATGATTGCTTTTATATGTGTGTTAACGATTGGCTCGTGGAACACCTGGTAACTCGAAATCAGTTATAGTGAAATGGAAACCTTCGCATACCTCCTTCTAACCCTCTGACTTGGAACGGAATATATTGCCTAATATATTTTATTACATTTTCCTCCGCCCTAACATAAAAACATAACCTATATATCACAACTAAATTTCTCCCTTCCAAACTCGAAACTAGGTTACCGAACAATCGACCCATGCGATTCTTGAGACAGTTTAGTGTCACTGCGCTCTGTGGTTTCTCGGCGCTATACCCATAACTTGATATGTTCCAGACAATGCTGTGTGTGCCTATTGTCCAACTGATTGTCAATGTGGCAGTACTAGTGATGGCCGTCTATCAGCGTCCACATCAGATGGGCATCGCACTTGCTATCTTGGTTGCTGGTATCCCTGTGTACTGGTTCGGGGTGCTGTGGAAGAACAAACCAAAAGAGTTGACGAAGATTGTCGGTAAGTGAACACCTGTGACAGGTTCAAGCGGTCTAAGGCACTTGCTATACAGTGACCAGACCTTATTTGCTAGGGATAGCTAGTCACGGTTTTGAATTCCGCATTTATCCAAATTTAACACAATAAACCTGCTCGCGTGTTTCTGAAATACGCCGATTAATGGTTCGCTTGTATTTCGTCTCATACCCTATCTACACCCCTCGCCCTCACTCTGCCAGACATTTAAAACCTTTCCTAAAAGCGAAAGAAATATTATGCAGTTCATTACATTTGTGTCCATACAGCTAATATATTTACGTTGTCCGGAGTGACCTTATAATATAGAGATTATAATCAATTGCACATTGTATTGCGGAAACGTTATATAGTTTTATATAATTTTATGACGGCAAGAAAGACAATATGTTAACTATGGTTTATTGTGAGCACATACCACTACATGTATTCCCTTGATTGTTTCAGAGGGTCTCACCATTTTAGCTCAGAAGATCCTAGTAGTGGTAAAGGCGTCGCAAAACGGAAAAAGTTTGGGAAAGACGCCAATTTCCCCAAAGAAATAGAAGCGGGTTCCAGGTTAGTCTGGGAGGAATACAATTAATGATCATGTGATGATTATCCAGTGTATTACATTTTCATTCTGTCACGCTAGATGCCCTGCGCCTATTAATCACTTTACCTTGGTTTGATTCTGGGTCGAATTGAAGGACACTAACAATAGTCGTCCAATCAAATTATAATGTTATAATTATTACGTCTTCAATACAATCGGTGATAACACCAGTACTCGCCTTGGTGCTTACCGTCTTCAATACAATCGGTGATAACACCAGTACTCGCCTTGGTGCTTACCGTCTTCAATACAATCGGTGATAACACCAGTACTCGCCTTGGTGCTTACCGTCTTCAATACAATCGGTGATAACACCAGTACTCGCCTTGATGCTTACCGTCTTCAATACAATCCGTGATAACACCAGTACTCGCCTTGGTGCTTACCGTCTTCAATACAATCGATGATAACACCAGTACTCGCCTTGATGCTTACCGTCTTCAATACAATGATCCGTGATAACACCAGTACTCGCCTTGATGTTTACCGTCTTCAATACAATCCGTGATAACACAAGTACTCTCCTTGCTGCTTACCGTCTTCAATACAATCCGTGATAACACCAGTACTCGCCTTGCTGCTTACCGTCTTCAATACAATCCGTGATAACACCAGTACTCGCCTTGGTGCTTACCGTCTTCAATACAATCCGTGATAACACCAGTACTCGCCTTGCTGCTTACCGTCTTCAATACAATCCGTGATAACACCAGTACTCGCCTTGATGCTTACCGTCTTCAATACAATCCGTGATAACACCAGTACTCGCCTTGATGCTTACCGTCTTCAATACAATCCGTGATAACACCAGTACTCGCCTTGCTGCTTACCGTCTTCAATACAATCCATGATAACACAAGTACTCGCCTTGCTGCTTACCGTCTTCAATACAATCCGTGATAACACCAGTACTCGCCTTGATGTTTACCGTCTTCAATACAATCCGTGATAACACCAGTACTCGCCTTGATGCTTACCGTCTTCAATACAATCCGTGATAACACCAGTACTCGCCTTGATGCTTACCGTCTTCAATACAATCCGTGATAACACCAGTACTCGCCTTGCTGCTTACCGTCTTCAATACAATCCGTGATAACACCAGTACTCGCCTTGATGCTTACCGTCTTCAATACAATCCGTGATAACACCAGTACTCGCCTTGATGCTTACCGTCTTCAATACAATCCGTGATAACACCAGTACTCGCCTTGATGCTTACCGTCTTCAATACAATCCGTGATAACACCAGTACTCGCCTTGATGCTAACCGTCTTCAATACAACCCGTGATAACACCAGTACTCTCCTTGCTGCTTACCGTCTTCAATACAATCCGTGATAACACCAGTACTCGCCTTGTTGCTTACCGTCTTCAATACAATCCGTGATAACACCAGTACTCGCCTTGATGCTTACCGTCTTCAATACAATCCGTGATAACACCAGTACTCGCCTTGCTGCTTACCGTCTTCAATACAATCCGTGATAACACCAGTACTCGCCTTGCTGCTTACCGCCTTCAATACAATCCGTGATAACACCAGTACTCTCCTTGCTGCTTACCGTCTTCAATACAATCGATGATAACACCAGTACTCGCCTTGCTGCTTACCATCTTCAATACAATCCGTGATAACACCAGTACTCGCCTTGCTGCTTACCGTCTTCAATACAATCCGTGATAACACCAGTACTCGCCTTGCTGCTTACCGTCTTCAATACAATCCGTGATAACACCAGTACTCGCCTTGATTACTTTGAATTTTAATGACAGAATATATCATGCAGAAATATTGTCAACCGTTAGGTCATAGATGAAAAAAAAACACATTGCAAATTGTCTTGAGAGCAACAAGAATGGCTGTTAGTGTCAGATATATTTTCTGTTTGCATAAACTCTAAACATTCCATGTCATGTTAAGGTTTGACTGTGTATTTATTTTCGGTTCATTGAGGTATGAATCGAAAAACCGATGTGCAAACTGTATGAATCCGCGTAGTCAATTTACTTGCAGCCTAGTGCAAAATGCGTCCGAGATAACAGTTTCAATTATGTATACTGCCTATCACAGTTATCAATCATGAAGAAAACAAGGTCTGAAATGGAACATGGACATTTACTATGAATTGTTTGCATTTGGAAGAAAGACGTTATCATCACCAAAAGAAATGGAACTTACTGTTACCGCACAATAAATACTAAACTGCTTCATGATCAACCAGCCTGTGTCAACGGCATCAACAATGACAGTAGATGCAGCTTGGTGTAAACGCCCTACACACAAACGACTGCCGCCAGACGCCTCCTCATTCCAGGAATTAGACTTTGCACTTGACGTTGAGGTATGCCAGTCTATTCCAAATACAATAACAGCAAGTTCACCTAACTGTTGGATAGGTAGGTCTCTCTGTCGGACTTGAGGGCCTAAAATGTGCTTCAGTGATCAAGATAATTTATATTTGAATGAAACACATCCCCATACCATTACCAATCCCTCTACAAATGGATGGTTCTCTAGAATGTTGTGTGCAGCCATGGCTGTATATGCCTGCCTCCAGACACGTGTTCTGCCGTCTGCCATGTGTAACAGAAGCCGATTTTCATGACAAAGATGTACTCTCCGCCATGACCGTGATTACACCATACCATACGGCCTGAGTTAACAAGGGTTGTTTGATTGGTCCTCTGGCTCTGGATCCAGCTGTTGGCAGACGAGTGCTGATGGCTCTGGTTGAAGTCGCTCTGTCTGGTGGCCAGTGTGCCGCTAAAACTGCACTGTTGTCAAATGGATATCGTCTTACGAACCTTAACAATGATGCATCTTCTCTCCTGGATGTCTTGCGAGGCTGACCTGGGCGTGATCTGCCCTTTACTTCATTAAATTGTTGTTTTGCACTTATCTTGAAATGATAAGTGTATGGTTACGTCCTAGTTGACGTCCAACTTCTCTACAAGACATTCCTGCATTTTTCATTCCAATATTCTGCCATCTTAACGCTTCAAACAATTTACGACGTGCCATGATAATTGTAAGTGAAATGTGCACCTGAAATGTTCACGATCAATCTGTGTTTTCATGCATTTTAAGCGCCTAGACAGTGGTACTCGCAATGATATGGTGTGGGAAAGGGCCATAATACAATTTTATTCATTTTCAAAACATTTCTTTCTGTGTAATTTTATACTTTGGTGGTGCTTAATTATTTTTCCAGGCGTATATATCAAAATCAAGAATATGTGCTGTTTGAGAGCAGAGTGCAAATGTGTCGTTCCATTGAAATACTATGAACATGCATGTAATATAGGTTAACTGGGATGGTAGACTGTAGACAAAAGCTGTAATCGACAACGTTTAATGCCAACTGCTTGCTATATGCGCCAGTTTTGGACTATGTGTCGTTATGGTCTCTACAAAGACATATAGCTCCATTTATTAAGTTCAGTTATTGCAGCAATTTTCATTCTTATTTATCGTAAAGACACATGCTAGTGAGTGAGTGATCAAAGTCAGAGATCGGAGTCTCATACGATCTTACTATTTCGAGGTACAGTGTTTCAGTTTTTTTAAGGTCTAAGTTCACTAACAGTTATGTGATCAACCACAGCAGGATCTTCAGCAAGACCACAGCAGTCCAGACAGTGACCGACACGGTTTAACTGTTGCCAGTACAAACATGACAAAATGAGTTTTGCTTGTAGGAGTGCTTTGTGACACATCAATGCTGAATTGGCAAATTTACTAAGTGCAAAGGAACTACTTACTAAACCGTGCAACCGTGCACCAACTTACATCAATTTACACATCGTTTTAGAGATAAATATGCATATAAACTACCGGGCTAGAGAAAGTATACCCCCATGTTTGATGGTGGCTGAAAATGAAACACAACAAATGGTTATTCGATGGTATCCATGGTATCGTAGTTATGTTTTCAACTTCAAGTTACCAGTTTTCCGGCGACTGTTTTCTGCCTAACTGACCTGAACTTTAATACTTTTAGGTAGAAGAACATATACTTAATTATACAAAACAAGTACAAGATGCGGTGTCATTCAGAGCGCAGGCAGTGATGCAACGTAACAAATATTAGTTCATACAAGATGTAAGTCAACATGTTAAAATATCTAATTTTACAAAAGTTGCATGAGTTCTTTTAACAATCCATATTTGTAGAGGAAAATAACCAGGCAAATTCCGAAAGGTAGGGATATTACGATAATAAAATGGGATACAAATATTTCCCTGTTCGTATAAACATGGACAACGTTTTGATGACCTTTGTAATTATTTGGTCGAATCCAATGTTAAAGTGTTTACTTTCTTTTGCCTGGCATTTTACAACGCAGACATCCTTGTCCGGATTAAACCTTATTTGCACAGTCTGGATATATGTCTGTCAAATGCATATCTATCCTACATTAACTCACTCACGACAATATATACTGGATAATAATTCTGGATTATGTAATTGTGCGCTCGATGTGTGAAGTCATGAATATCATTAATACTCAGTGAATGTCAAACAATTGTAATTGACGCACATGTTCTTTGTTCTTATTTCATTGACTGTCATAGACATTCTCATTACAAAACATACAAGGAAAATGTGGATTTGTGAATGACGCTACGTCGATTTGCACATAAACAGTCTGCATGCATCCAATCAAATACAAACATGTAAGTTGAGAGTGGGAAAGACCACACCGTGAGGTCAATAGGTTAGCATGTGACATTAAAAAACCCATTTTAGTACTAGATTAGCGAGATTACACATTAGCGCAGCAGCATGGCATAATCACAGAACGCATAGAGGCACATGATCTTCACCCGAAAGCATAATGGTACACGATCTTCATCCAAAGCACAACGGTACATGATTTTCACCCAAAGCATAGGGGATGTTGGATATCAATATCCGAAAGACCGAAAATGTTCTGAACTCAATT